CGACTTTTCAATTCTCTATCCAACGATGCCAAAACGAATTCTGTGGCTCGAATGGTTCTTGAGAAACTTCGAAAAAAGCAGCATCATGTTCAAGTAGATTTTGCAACTCAAAAAAAAAAACCACGCAAATGTAAAACTTCTTGAATTCAAGCATTTTTTGAGAAAACTGCAACATTTCCTTATCGACGGTTTACTTTCTAAAAAGGCCATTTAGTTCTCTTTGGAATGATGTAAAAACGAGCGTTCTTGCTCATTTTGCCTCCGAGAAACATGCGAAATGGGACGAAAAACATGCAATTTTGCAATAATCTTTCGCCACCCTTGCACAAAACGACGATAATTTTTCTAATTTCATAGGCAACGCAAGACTGTATTTTTGCTACATAACCCCCCCCCCTGAATTTAAAGCTGGATACGCCCCTGACCGTCCGTCGATGTTCAATCTCACATTCATTCGCAAACATTCGATTTAAAGAAACGGCACTAATTGAAGCAATATTCAATTCTTCGCTTGATCTAGCGCAAAAATGTCTTCAGACCTGCCTGATAAATCAGATAAAATCAATGAAGATTTTTGTTCCAGCAACGAAAAAACCGGAAGTAGTGAGTGAAACGCACAGCGCAACCGAATCCATCTCGGCAATGTTGAACAAATACGGCCCTTGGGGATATTTGATGATGGGCCTTTTGATATGCGGCACCGTTTTGTTCTTCTGCGGCTTATGGGAATGCTGTTGTAAGCGACCGAAGCCGGAGGTGGACCCGCCGCCCTCAACCACGCCCACCACCGTTTTGATCATGAATTGTGAACAAGGGGCTGCGCCCCCCATGCCGCCCCAATATGACGATTTGGACCTTCCGCCCTCTTACACCACGCTGTTCCCATTGGAGGAGGGCCGATACACGACAATTTCGGAAGAGGAAGAAGCGGCTGTTCCGTCCAGCAGCAGTGGCGGCGATGACGAGAAAAACGAAGAAATTGACCAAAGTTCGAGTGCGGATTGTGTCCAGCCCGTTACGGTAGTGGAAACAGTTCAAATAAATCACGACAATAATAGTACTAGTCAGCAGGAGCCACCAACAGATTTAGACTCAGTATAGGGACTTTTTTCAATAATAGGCTTATTAACTTGTGTGATATTACGACTGATCAAATAGTTAGTTCGAGTTTGTAGACGTCACGCGTATTATAATATTTATAATGCGAATATTTAAAATCGTTTTTATTTATCTGACAAAATGATTTTTTTAATTAAAAACAACAAAATAAACATACAGTGTCTTATTATGAAATGTATGAAACTGGAATACATGAGGAGCTAAATACACAGTTTCAGAAGAACTGAGCTTGAGAACGAAAAGCAACTGAATTTTGTAGTAAATATAGGAAAGTTGTCAGCACATCGAAACTGGCGAGTTTTCTTTTAGTTGGCTTTCAACAAAAGTAATTTTTTTTTTGTATAAATATGTTATGTAAAGACAAGTTTTGCGCCTAATGTCCGCAGTCCGAAAAACTTGCAGACGCAGACACTTCATTGAATTAATGTCTCTGATCTTTCTTAAAAGCGTGCTGAAGTCAAACTTTCCTGCATCAGTATTTGGTCTAATTTGAAGACAAGGGCGGATCCAGGGGGGGTCATGGGGGTCGTGACACCCTCCATT